TGTGTGTGTGTGTGTGTGTGTGTGTGTGTGTGTGTGTGTGTGTGTGTGTAGGAGTGGGGATGGAAAAAAGAAAGTTGGTTTTGTTGGTGGTAAAATGAGCACCATTGTAATAGAATCTATAAAAAGTGCCATTGGCAGTAATGCCCACCTAAGCAGCAAAATCAATCTGTAGGTCCCAAGTGCAAAACACACTTTAGGCCAGCTCACTGAGGTGGGAAACTGTTCAGCCATTGGGAGTTTCCCTGGGAATGGAAGGCCAGGCTTGACAGGTACTGCATCATCAAGTACTCATTGTCTGCTACACCTTGTTCAACATTTTTATTTCATCTTCTCAACACTAGCTATGACTTAGTCAAGGACCTTTCTCTTCTTAAAGGGTGCGCTTTGTGGCCCTCTGAAGAGAATAAACCAAATGGCTGAATGACCATGTGAATTTCCCACTAATAATTCAAATAAGTACTTCTATGCAGTAGTCTGGGGCCTGCATTGCCACTGTCTGTTTTAAATTATTATTAAATTTATTTATTTATTCTCTTTACAACCCAATATCAGCCCTTTCTCTCCTCCTAGGACCCCCCTCACACAAGTCCTCCCCCGACTCTCCCCCTTCTCTTTTAAGAAGAGGAAGCCCTCCTCTCCTAGTGTCAGAATACTACCAGTTCCCTACCCCCTACCCTGCACACCAAGTGCTACAGGACTAGACACATGCTCTCCCATTGAGGCCAGACAAGGCTGCCCATTTAGGTGTGTGGGATCCACAGGCAGCAGGCTCAGGGACAGCCCCTGCTCCAGTTGTTGGTAGACCTGCATGAAGACCAAGCTGCTCATCTACGTATGTGCAGGGGGCTTAGGTCCAGCCTGTGCTCACTCTTTGGTTGGTGATTCAGACTCTGGAAGCCCCCAAGATTAGTTGACTCTGTTGATCTTACTGTGGAGTCCTGTCTTCTTCTAGTCTCTCAGTCTTTCTCCCAACCCTTCCATAAGACTCCCCAAGCTCCATCTAATGTTTGGGTGTGAGTCTCTGCATCTCTTTCCATTGGCTGCTGGGTGGAGCAGAGGACAGTTATGCTAGGCTTCTGTCTGCAAGCATAACGGAGTATCATTAATAGTGTCAAGGACTGTTTCTTGCACATGGGGTGGGTCTCAATTTGAGACAGTCATTGGTTGGCTATTCCCTCAGTCTCAGCTCATCTTTCTTCCTGCACATCTTGTAGGCAGGGCACATTTTGGGATGAAGACTTTGTGGTGGTTTGCTGTCCTTATCCTTCCACTGGGAGCCCTGCCTGGCTACAGAAAGTGACCACTTCAGGATCCATATGCCCCATTGCTAGGATTCTTAGCTAGAGTCACCCCTGTAGACCCTCTGGGGCTTCTCCCCATCCCAGGTCTCTGGCACATCCTAGAGGTTGCCCTCCCACTGCCCATTTCCCCTCTCTCTCCCTTGCTCTCTCTACATAAGATCTCTCCTGACCTACTCCGTTCCCTCTTCCACCCAGTTCCCTCCTTCCATCGACCCCCGATATCTATTTTGTTTCCCCTTCTGAGAAAGATTCAGCCATCCTCCCTTGGAACCTCCTTGTTATTTGGCTTTTTGGATCTGTTGATTATAGCATGGTTTATAACTTTATGGCAAATATCTACTTATCAGTGAGTATATACCATGCATGTCCTTTTGGGTCTGGATTACCTCACTCATGGTGATATTTCCTAGTTCCATCATTTGCCTGTGAAATTCTTGATGTCCTTGTTTTTAATAGCTGAGTGGTATTCTATTGTGTAAATGTACCACTATTTTAACTCTACTTCTTTTTCAAAGGTGCTAAAAACTGAAATCTGCTGGTGGTTTCTCTGCTCTCTGAAATGATTCTCCTTTCTTCATACTTGTATTGGGAATTACTCAAATTCTTCAAAAGTTTACTTCCCTCACACTAATGTTGGTAAATTAAGTCCAAAGGAAGCTGCTGAGATCCACAGTTTAAATGTTGACTTCAGTGTTCCAGATAACTAACTTGTGCTTAAGTTTTGTTCCCAATACTCTAAGATTCACATGTACTGATAGGAATTACTTGTTCTAGTCACATACTCACCAAGAGCCCAGTAAGAGAATCCCGTCCTGGAGTGGTCGTCCCATCTGGATGGAAAAGATGGTCATGTGCAGGGTCAAAGTCCCACACACGTTTGCTGTCCACTCTTATGGCCGTCCAACAATATGCCAGTACTGCAAGCGGCTGCTGAAAGGCCTCTTTCGCCAAGGAATGCAGTGTAAAGGTAGGATTGCTTAAGCTCCAGGTACAGTCCATGTGTATTTTTTTAATATATATATATATTTTTAAATCAAATCATAATTTTTACTTATTCACACAGGGGTTATAAACACAAATGGCAGGATGTGGGGAAGGGGATGACACCAGAGCGTGGGTGTTCAGGGGGCTTAGAGATATCTTTCAGAACAAGGTATTGGCTGGGTGAAGGGGACAGGTCACTATGGCTCTGCCTATGATTCTCTTGTCCTTATCTAAGTTGGTATTATCCACCAAGGCTACCTATTTACAAGGTCTATGACTACTCAGGCTGGTAAATTTCCACAAAATCTGCCTGCTTATAATAGCTTATAACCATCTGTTTCAAAAGTTTAAAATATCTAAGTTTCAGTAACATTTACTATACAAATTGTTCTTATAGTTAACTTAAAAAAGAAGAGGGGAAAGTGTGTGTGTGTGTGTGTGTGTGTGTGTGTGTGTGTGTATGTCTGCATGCACACACACCCATGCCAAACTTTATCTCCAGTGTTCTATACTTTTAAAAAGAAACAGTCAGAACAACTATATGAGAAATCATGATATTATTTCTCAATCAAATTAAGTATAAGACAACATGTTGGTAAGTAGAACATCTATACATGCTATTAGATTATGCATGAAGTAAGAGGAGGCGACATGGAGCTACCAGTGTCTGTGTATCATACAGATGACATTAGCTTCATTACACAGACCAAGAAACTAATCCTTTGTTGGGTTAAGTGACTGAAAGGTTGGGAAGCTGTTAAATGCTATCAGAAGTTGAGACCAGACTATTGCTAAGGCATGAGCTCTTAGAACAACACATTGTTTTTGAGTGACTTAAAGGAAGTGTAATCTGATTTTTACCTGTATAAATACTAAGCTGAAGATTTTTATTTTAGATTGCAAATTCAACTGCCATAAGCGCTGCGCATCCAAAGTACCAAGAGACTGCCTTGGCGAGGTTACTTTCAATGGAGGTAAAATTATTTATATTTTTAAAACTTTTATAAAAGATCAGAAAAGGTCATGACTCTGTACTGTCTGGGTAAGGTTGATTGCACATTTTATTTACTGATTTTGTGTAAGATTGTCTTCTGACTTAATATCTAAGCAGAATACAGAGATGAGTGACACCACACATGTGTAGTTAGTGCCTACATCTTTCCTGTGGCCTCCTCACTAACTCTGGCCTCCAGGATCCAGTGGTGCTGCATATCAACTTCCAGATCACCTTTAAAGACTGGCTGTCATCTTTAGTCTTTATTTATTGACTTTTAAATGTAAGCCCCATTGCTTCTAGGCCTTTTGCCTAAGATCAAGTGTAAATGTAAGCCCCTCTCAGGTGATTCCGGTAAGTGTCTAAGATACAAATACATTAAATAATTTGCCTGAGAATTAGAGCCAAGAAGTGACAGAGCTAGAATTTGAACCCATGTCTGTCTTTTTTTCTCAAATAATCTATCACTCTCTTCCTAAAGATAATAGTCTAGTGAAGTTACTATTTGTTTTTGGAAGGAAGGAATAAATAGCACATGCTGTAAGCTTCCAACATAATTTCCCCTTAACAATTTATATGACTGATAAAAGTAAATATAAGTAATTTTTTAGGGATAGGATAATGATTGAAAATTTAACTCCTTGAGAATTTAATTACCATTTTCTGCATATTCTTTCATGGTTGTCAGTTGTCTTGAGTCTGTTTAGACGGGTATTAAGTACCATAGGTGGGGTAGTTTATAAACAACAGAAATTTATTCCCATGGTTCTGAAGGCTGAGGAGTCCAGGGCACCAGCAGATTCTGAGTTTAGTGAGAGTCTGACTACCTCCTAGTTCATGGAAGACACCATTTAGGTACATGGTAACATGCTAAAATGTCTGAATAAGCTCTTTGTGGGCACTAGTGCAAATCTTAGGAGCAGAACCTTCAGAACCTGATCACTTCCAAAGGTCTCACTTCTGAATACCATTACCCTAGAAGGTAGATTTCTTTTTTCCCCGAGACAGGGTTTCTCTCTATATCCCTGGCTGTCCTGGAACTCACTCTGTAGACCAGGCTGGCCTCGAATTCAGAAATCCTCCTGCTAGAAGATAGAGTTAATAGACAGATTTTGGGTAAAAGATAGTTAACATTATTGGTAGAGTATGAACAGGTTTTTTTCCATATGCCTAAAGTCTTTTCTAGCTTTATTGTTTGTACATTTGTATTTTTGTGCTTTCCTTCCTTCTAATAAATGGATATGAAATACTATATATTCATTTTAATATGCAATTCTCTGGTTACTCATGAGTTTCCTGTTTATTTATGTACCCACTCCACCCCTACCACATTGCTTCTTCAAGTGCTTTATTTTTGTGATAATTTGACATACTAATCTTTTCTTCATTTATAGAGGTCATAATAACTTGATGGTATATTTTTAGCAGCTTTGCTGAGATATAGTTTGCTTGTTTTATAATTTACCCACGTAATATATTCACAAAGTTATGTTGCCAGAGTAAATTACTCTGTCTAATGTTAGGAATTTTCATTCTCCAAAAAAATATATACTTCATATTTCTACCCTATTCTCTCTTTAATAGCCTCTGGCAACCAGTAGACAACTTTCTACTTTTATGTCTGTCTATTTGAGACATTGTACATAAATACAGTCATACAATCAGTATGGAGGCTATATAATAGTGGCTGTTTCCTTTTACTTAGCATAGTATTTTCAGAGTTCATACATAGTGTAGCCTTTGCCAGTGTTTAGTTCTTCTTTTGGACAAATAATGTGGCTCTCAGAGAAATAAGAGCATTTTCTTTATGCAGTCACCAGTTCGTATTGTGATGTGCCTGCTTTGGGGTTGTTAGGAATAATGTTGCTATGCACACTTTTGTATTACTTCTCTGTGGACATGTCGGTTCATTTCACTTGGGTAGATAACCTGGTATAGTAGGAGGTTGACCCACTCGGTAACTCTGTACCATTTTGAAGACCTGCCCAATTTCCAAAGCCACTGCATGGGTTTACCACCCATCAGTATTTAAGTAAATGCGTTGTCTTTTATTATTGAATTGTGGAATTTCTTTAAATATTCGGAATACAACTCTATTATCTAATATTTTTTGCATATACTTTCTCAGTGGTAGAGTACTTGCCTAGAATTTGCAAGGCCCTGGATTTGATCCCCAGCACATACAAAAAAGTAAGAAACAAATAAAGACTCCTTCACCTTGAATCTCAAGGATATTTTTCTCAAGTTTTAAAACCTTTTTTCTAGTTAACTTTAAGACTGATCTGCTTAGATGCATTAATATTCTATTACTATTAAGCTGTGATTCTGTTAAACCTTTCCTAGAGCCTTCCAGTCTGGGAACTGATACAGACATGCCGATGGATATTGACAGTAACGATGTGAATAGTGACAGCAGTAGGGGCTTGGATGACTCAGAGGAGCCATCCCCTCCTGAAGACAAAATGTTCTTCCTTGACCCAACTGATCTCGATGTGGAGCGAGATGAGGAGCCTGTTAAGACAATCAGGTAATGCATTACGCTGCTGCCAAAGGCCAAGGCAGGTCAGGATCTCCACTTAAGGAAAGTGGCCTTTCTTTAAATGTGATTTTAAATGTAATTTAAAATTTAATTAAATCATGGTTAATTATTGCATGCACCACAGGATTTCTGTAATAAATTCTATTTGCTATCAACTCAAGATAGAAAGCAAGAGAATCTTTACTTTCTTAAAAAGAAAAGGACTTTGTTTAAATAAAGTCTGGATAAAATATCTCACTGTGGAGCAACTACCTCAAGGTGCCCATATTAAACCATTAATTGAAACAGCCTGTTTCTTCACATACAGGTTACCAGGTAGTAATTCAGCAATGAAGAATACATTCCTGAGAGGCCTGCAAGCACATATACCTGCATGTTTTCTCCAGCTGTTTATAACCTGATTTTAATTTATTATACTGTTTAATTTTCTTAATACCTAAAAGTAATTTCCCTTAACAGTATTTTTCTCTAATATGATCAACTGATTTTGAAACTTGAACCATGTGAAGTTGAGTAAACATATTTTGCCTTATGAATTTATTTTTCTGCCTAGGGCAAGAAAATTCCTCAGCAGCAAACCCAAATGACCTCACAGGCTCCAAATCATCTGGCTGGAAGATCCCTTCTGCTCCATCCGTCATCTCCCCGTTCCCTCCCCGTCCTTCCAGAAAGATCATGACAAGCATGATTAGTTACAGTATTAGAGTCGTTTGATAAGTTCACTATGTATCAGTATAACAGAGGAGCTAGTTTATCTTCTTTTTAAGTCATTGTCTTCTTACAATACTTTAAAAATATTAGCTCAGTTATGTTTTAGAAACTTGATGAGATGTGATTTTTTAAGTAGATATTGAAAATATTGATCATAAGTTTTAAATATCTTCTAGTCCATCCACAAGCAATAATATCCCATTGATGAGGGTGGTACAGTCCATCAAGCACACAAAGAGGAAGAGCAGCACAGTGGTGAAGGAAGGGTGGATGGTCCACTACACCAGCAGGGACAACCTGGTCAGTATCACGTGCGTGGGATATGCTAGGAAGCTGGGTGACGGTTCTGCTGTCTGCACTGCAACAGTTAAGAATGAAATAGGAGCCGGGCGGTGGCTGCGCACGCCTTTAATCCCAGCACTAAGCACTTGGGAGGCAGAGGCAGGCAGATTTCTGAGTTTGAGGCCAGCCTGGTCTACAGAGTGAGTTCCAGGACAGCCAGGGCTACACAGAGAAACCCTGTCTCGAAAAACAAAAAAAAGAATGAAATATATACTGACATTATATACACTACAGCAATGTGTAAAAGCTATGCTGGAATGATAGTCAAGATTCAAAAGGACATCAGAGTAATGACTCAAAATATGATTTTGCTAAAGATGGAAAAATTAAAATTGCATATGAATAGTCGTCTTTAGTAAGGTAGGAAACAGTTGTCTTAATGTGTATAAACAGTGTAAATGTGCCTATTCTCGTGGATCAGTGTAGCAAAGAGGAGGCATTATAAAGTTACAGTAGGACAGCAGAGTGGAGTAGCTGAGAATACTGTCTTCAGAGCTAGCCTGTCATAAGTCTGTTAGCAAAACTGTAAACATGGTAGTTATTAACTTTTCTTTATGACTCAGTTTCTTTGTCTATAAAGTCTGCATAGTAGTAGTAACTTTCTCATAATCCAAATGAGCTAATATATATAGGAAGAACTTAGAATAATATTTGGCATATAGTAGCAGTCAGTAAATCAGTAACCATTAAAATGTCTTGAATGTTTTCTAGTAATCCTTCCTAGAGTAATGTGAAGTTAGATTCCTGCAGTTTTAGACCTCCTTGGGAAAGTTTCTTTGTGCAGAGGACGGCAGTTGATGGAGAAACTCACATCTAGTCAAAGCACAGAGAGTAGCTCCCATGGAGTACTCAGCCCCAAATGAGACCGCCGCCATATCATACCTCCTCTTCCACAAGGCTCGGGCCATTGTGAAAAAGGGGCAGAAAGACTGTGAGAGGCAGAGTCGAGGAGGACCTCAGGGGAACTATCTTCTGGACATGACAAGACTGCTGTGCTCGTGAACTCAACAGCTGTAGCTCTCTGCACAATGTCAAGCTAGTCACCATGACAGTGGGAAGGAGCTCAGAGCTCCAGCTCCTAGCTGAGGGCTTGGGGGTGGAGGGTTGACCTTCTTTAAGGATAAGGCTCCTGGTAGGTCAACCATGCCCCATACCCAAGAATTTATGGGTGGCACCAGTTGGACCCTGGGTTATTTTTTAAAGAGGGACATAAAATTTGGGGGTTAGTGTGAGATCTGGTCAGAGTTAGGAGGAATGGTGATAAAATTATCAGAATATATTGTATACATCTATAAAATGCTCAAAGAATAAAAATATTTTAAAACATGTGAGGTGTTTAATATATTTAAATGGTTTCAGTAAAGTTTCACATGGTGACAGCAGTATAGATTACAGCTGTATTTTTTCCATTTGTTTATAATCCATGCCCTTTCAACAGGAACATAAAAGAAATAAACACACATCTGAGAGTTTAGTAGTATGTCTCATGATGGATAACTCAGTAAATACTATAAGGGTGTCAAGTAGCCATTTGTGGGGGAATGACCATAACATAGCTCACACTTCACATGTAACAAAACTAAAACTAAATGAATCAAATGATTTAAATGGTCCTAAGTTAAACCAGTGGAAGAAACATTAGAACAGTTATTTTATAAAGACTGTGTTGGAGAGGGGAGAGCCATGACCCAATCTCAAGAAAGAAATTCTGTGTTTGGCAACCCCAAAAACAAGACAAATGACAAACTGGAAAAAATATTTCAACTTATACTTTAAATAAGAACTAATCAAGAATATGTGAAAATGCCAACAAATAGATAATAAAAAGATCACAGCATAATAAAAAGCAAATTAATATAAAAAGATCACAGAAAAAGGAAATAAAATTACTCTTACACATAAAGTATGGTTTTGTTTATAATAAAGATATCAACTTGCACTGATCAGGTTGTTTGTTTGGTTTTTTTTCTACATCAGAGATCAAAAAGTTTAGAAAGGGTCTAAGTCATTGGTTCTCAGCCTATGGATGACACCCCCTTTTGGAAGTCAAATGACCCTTTCACAGGGGTCGCCTAAGAACATCAGAAAACACTGATATTTACATTATGGTTCATAACAGTTATAAAGTAACAAATTATTTTATAATTAGAGGTTACCACAACATGAAGAATTGTAATAAAGGGTCACAGTGTTAGGAAGGTTGAGAACCACTTGTCTAAATAGTTACCCCTGTGACTATATCACCCCAGTGGATAAGACTATAAATTAGTTCAAGTCTTACTTAACACTACCAAAACAGTCTTTATATCTTTCTATATAGTCTTTTTTCTATATTTTTGAGAATTTTGTATATGTATACAGTCAAATACCATATCTACTCCTGTTCCCCCAGCACATCAGCTTCAGCTTCATGTCTCCTATGTGTGTGTGATAGTCACTAAGCTAGTGAGTACTACCCGGAAATACTCAGTGGAGGATAAAAACCTACCAGTGGCCACATCTTAAAAAATAGAAAGGAAAAAAAAAAAGATTGTTCCTCCCTCAGCAACTCCTCACTAAGGAGTGAGTCCTAAAGATCATCTACTCCACCTATGCCAGGATTTTGTCTGGCTTGATCTCGTATAGATCTTATGCAGGTAACCACAGCTACTTATATGATTGCAACACTTTGTCATTCCCTGAAGATGGCATTTCACAGCACCCTCCCCATCTGGCTCTTTCTGCCTCCTATGTAATGTTGCCTGGGTGGTGATGTCCCATTTAGGACTGAGCACTGAATCTTTTAATCTCAGCACATTGACCAATTACATGGCTGTCCATGACAAACTCTCTGATCTAGCTCGAGTGCAGTACAGGCCTGTCATCTCCTGGAGTTAGGGGAACTACTGAAGTGTGGATCTGGGGCTCTGCATCCAGAAAGCCCTTACCTATAGGTACCAGGAACTGGAAGAACAGGCGTGGTTGGGGCCTGAGAACCTCTTGCCTGTGTCTCTGCTTTGGGGGCAGTTCTGTGTTTATTTTTTGACAACATCCAGAAATTTAGCATAGAAGTAAGTTACATAAATCTATGCATGTGAATGATGTATAGATACTTCTGTATGCATATATAAATTTGTATGAAAGGACCTCCTAAAACCTAACAATGCCTCACTTGGGTAAGAGTAAAAAATGGGATGTAAGTCCTTGTGGGAGTGATACATTTCATACATTTTTTTTTTCTGGTTTTTTCGAGACAGGGTTTCTCTGTGTAGTCCTGGCTGTCCTGGAACTCACTTTGTAGACCAGGCTGGCCTTGAACTCAGAAATCCGCCTGCCTCTGCCTCCCAAGTGCTGGGATTAAAGGCATGTGCCACTGCCACCCAGCCATTTCATACATTTTTATATTTTGAAAATCTTAAACCTCATTATTTAACCCTACCCAAAACAGAAAAATGGATAGTAAAAGAAAAGTGCAACTATTTTGGAAGGAATCATTTTTGAACCACATTTTTCTGACTTCTGTTTTTAATAGAGAAAGAGACATTATTGGAGACTTGACAGCAAATGTCTAACATTGTTTCAAAATGAATCTGGATCAAAATATTATAAGGTAAGGATTTTGCATTTTATAAAATGTTAAAATATTGTGATACTTTATTTTCTGGTTTCAGTAAAGTTTTATATGGTTAATTTCATTTTTATGTGAATATTCTTATTACTGCCTTATAATGTTGATAAGAGGTCATCATTAAATCCTTGTTGAAGTAACTGCCCTCGACTTCCATTACACACACAGAGAGACACAGACACACACACACACATACACACACACATACACCATACAAACCAAAAAAAGTAATTGACTAGTTTTGGCCTATTACTTGGACTAAACATTAAATAGTTAATAATTTAGGCCAATATATAGACTAGAAGGAATGGTTAAGCAACTTTATTTGCTTTTATTTTATTTATATTGGTGTCCTATCTGCATTTGTGTCTGTGTGAAGGTATCAGATCCCCTGGAACTGGAATTACAGACAATTGAGAGCTGCCATGTGGGTGCTGGGACTTGGGCCCAGGTCGTTTGGAAGAGCAGCCAGTGCTCCTAACTGCTGAGTCATCTCTCCAGTCCAGCCATTATTTGTGCCTGCTCAGCTTAAGGGTATTGCTTCCAGAAGAGCAGTCACTGGAGATGCAGCTGTTGAGTGATACCAACAGTTAGTAGACAGGTGTCAGATTCGGAGGCAGACTACCTTCCTGAATACTTTTCTGCCAACATCATAAAGATCTACTATACTGTTTCATTGTATAGGGGTGTGTGTGTGTGTGTGTGTGTGTGTGCATGTGCGAGTGTGAACATGCACTTGCACCAATGCAGGACCAGAGGCAGATGCCAGATATCTTTCTCCATTACTGTCCACCTTTTTTTATTTGAAGTATAAGGTTTTGGGGTTTGTTTGGTTGGTTGGTTGGTTGGTTTTTGTGTGTATATGAGTATTTTGCCTGAATGTATGTGTATGTCTGGTGCCCATAGTTGCATAGTTGGGTATTGAGTCCCCTGGAACTAGAATTACAGGTAGTTGTGAGCTGCCACATGGATGCTTGGGAACTGGACCTAAGTCCTCTGCAGAAGTAAAGTGCTCTTAACCACTGAGCTTTTCTCTAGCCCCTCCACCTTATTTTTTAGGATAAGCCTAGAGCTCACTGTTCCAGATAGACTAGCTGACTACTGAGCTCTCTGAGATCCATCTGTCCCTGCCTGCTACCCTCCAGCTCTAGGGATCTGACAGGTCCACAGACTTCAAGCAGTTTATGCATCTCCAGTGCCCTGAGTCTCTAATACTCTGTGATCTGCCTCTAGCATTACTGAATAGTCAAATCATTTAAGACAGACATATCATAATACTTGGCTGCCTAATCCATATGCTGTATGCTGTGTTGGTTCTTAAAAATGCTAATCTTTGTTTCTAGTGTATTTAAAAAATAAATAAGTATTCATAGTTTTTCAATGTTTAACTTTTTTACTACAGGAAATTCCACTTTCAGAAATTCTCCGCGTATCTTCGCCACAGGATGTCCCCAGCATTTCACAAGGCAGTACCCCACACTGTTTTGAAATCATCACTGATACTGTGGTGTACTTTGTTGGTGAGAACAATGGGGGCAGCTCTCATAACCCTGTTCTCGCTGCCACTGGAGTGGGACTTGATGTAGCGCAGGGCTGGGAAAAAGCGATTCGCCAGGCCCTCATGCCTGTTACTCCTCAAGCAAGCGTCTGCACGGCTCCAGGTCAAGGAAAGGACCACAGTAAGTGGGAGCACCGTAGTGGCTTCACTCTACTTCAAGCGTTTGTAGACACTCTGTATGACTGTGCTTTTTCATTCTTTCCATTTTGCATTTTTAAGGCTTTAAGTTTTGTCTTTAATAGCCAATACCATTAGTTAATACCTTTACAAATTATGCTGAATATCATTCATATACACGTATATGTGAGTGCCTGTCTGTCTGTCTGTCTGTCTGTCTGCTTGTCTAATGGCTCCTCTATATATTCACAGTTGCCATCATCTCCTTACATTTAAACTCCACATCTAGCTGGGCAGTGGTGGTGCACCCCTTTAATCCCAGCACTTGGGAGGCAGAGGCAGGAGGATTTCTGAGTTCGAGGCCAGCCTGGTCTACAGAGTGAGTTCCAGGACAGCCAGGGCTATACAGAGAAACCCTGTCTCAAAAAAACAAAAAAAAAAACAAAAAAAAAGAAAAAAGAATTAAACTCCATATCTACCAGCGTGCTGTCAGATCTGAGATTCGTATTTTCCACTCTATAACAGTAGCTACTGTGGAATTGTTAGAGTGGAGTCAGCCTAGAACACAAAGAAGAGAGAGTGCTGCAGTGCTTAGCAGCTTAGTGTCTATGAATCGTTTTTTGTTTTGGGGTTTTTTTTTTTTGTTTTTTTTAGTGCTGACATAAAGTATTGTGTTTACATTATATTCATAAAATCTGTTAGGTCAGAGTGATGTTACTTTTAAATGAATCAAGACAGAAGTGAAAAAAATACTGAAGTGGCCATGGTGGTACATGCCTCTAATCTCAGCACTGTAGAGGCAGAGGCAGAGGCAGGCAGATCTGTGAGTTAGGGGCCAGCCTGGTCTGTATGGTGAATGTCGGCCAGGGCCATGGTGAGATCTTGTCCCAGGAAAACTGGGATGGGGGGAGGAGAGAAGAGAGAGAATATTAAACAATATTATTATATCAACAAAACTTTAAACTCAAATTGAATGAATATTTATTTAATAGTAAAACACATTAAAGTCTAATGTGACTTTTAACCTTATTAGAATTATGTTCATAGACAGTTATAGAGAAACATCATCATTAGACAAATATATTTATATTGAAATAAATATCAGCCACTTTCCAAATATCTCAGTTTTCCTGTATTATTTTATGCAACTGTCTCATGCATTATGTTAGGCCTAAAACTAAAATCCAAAAGAGAAATAATAAAAGCTCTTTAGAGGTAGATGAATATTTGAATGTTAGGCAGCAGCAAATTCAGTACAGGGACAAAATAAGAAATGCTTTACTGTAGAAACTGAGATACGGGTAGGAAAAGCAGAGGCTTCGTAGTAGAAAGCTTGATTTGGCATTATGATTGCAGTCAAGGGTAGGACAGGAGAGGTAGGTAAAAAGATGGAGGAGGTAGTGCTGCTTTCCTCGGGGAGACAGGTATAGTCAGGGTGTGACGGCTGCAGTCACGGTCATCTTTTGGTACATCCTGAGGAAGGATGGGTGGATGGATGACTAACAGTGTTTAAGTTCTGGGTAGTTAAGACAGAACTAATATTTAATCAAAACTAAGAACCCTTTCCCCAGAAATATTAGAGACATAGATGCACACATTTTCTTCCTACCTTCCAAAGGCTTAATTAAAGTCTCTAAGGCAGAGTCCTAGAGTAAGAGGGGAGATGGTAGTTCTGTCGCTCACTTTGCTGTGTGATCTTGGACTCTAGCATTCTGCATCCAAAGTGGGAAGAATAATAAATACACATACTGCACTTTGCAGCATGCCCGAGACTTAACTGATATTTCTGTTTTGTCTAAAACTAAGAGAAATTAAAACTGGATAGATCCTGAAAGAGGAGGCCATTGAGAGAAAAGAAAATAATGAAACTAGGAAACAAACCACCATAGAGTTTCGTTTGTGTGTGTGTGGGGGGGTACATTTGTGTGCATATGTACCTGTGTGCATCTGTGAAGACCAGAGGATAGTATGTCCTTTTCTATTATTCTCTGCTCATTCCCTTGAGAGCACTGAAACGGGCTAGCCTTTGGCTAGACTGACAAGCCAGCAAGCTCCCATAATCCTTCTCCTTTCCGCACCATACAAAGCTACATAAGGCCATACTTGGCCTTTTAAAATAGGTGCTGGGGACTAAACTCAGATCCAAATGCTTTCGCACACTGAGCCATTCACCAACCTTTGATACTTATTTATGATGAAGAACTTGCTTGTATTAGTGCTGTCTTATGTTTACTATGCGGAGTTGTGAAGGAAACCTCAAGTTTTGTTTCTCTGGGTTGTCTTAAAGGTGTTTGGTCTTTAATAGCTCTTCTTTTGCTTGTCTCCATGTTTCCCTTTTTCTTATTACTTTCTTTGTTTACCACAGTAACTCATCAAAACTTTGTAGAAATATGTCATCTGGGGCTGGAGAGATGGCTCAGTGGTTAAGAGCACTGACTTTTCTTCCAGAGGTCCTGAGTTCAATTCCCAGGAACCACATGGTGGCTCACAACCATCTGTAATGGGATCTGATACCCTCTTCTGATGTGTCTGAAGACAACTACAGTGTACTCACATACAATAAGATAAATAAATCTTTAAAAAAAAAAGCAACAAAGAAATATGTCATCTGACTTGAGGCAGTCCTCAGGATGCATGAAGCGTCCATCCCATCTCAGTCCTGACTCTGTCCTTAAGAAACTAGGACCTCTGGAAGAATGGCCAGTGTTCTTAGCCACTGAACCACCTCTCCTGCTGCAAGCATGCTTTTATTTTGTTTTAAAACAATATAAGCAGTATAAAGATATAAATATTACGGTCTTCATTCCCCAGCCTACATCACTCACTCACCAGAAGTGGCAGTTTTAGTTTTAAGTCAAACACTGCCACACTACAACCTGTTTTTTTTCCTCTTTTGTTCCTGGTAGTGCTGGTAATTGAATCCTGGGCCTCACACTTCACACATAATAGGCAGATGCTCTAACACTGACCCCTTAATAGGACATCATGTCACAGATCTATGTTGTTTATTAAATATTTAGAGTATTATTTGTGTAGATGTGTCATTTTATTTACTCAGTTTCTTATTGATGTATTATATTAGTATTATGTATAATACTAATACATATATTAGTATTATATATAGCATTTTAATGCATATATTATCTACATTGATATATTTTTAAGTTTGATAAGCTATGGATTTTAGTAAGTAATATTAAGTCATATACTAACCATTTTGTGTTTTTCTCATATTTCATTCTTGCATTTTACAGAAGATCTGGCTACCAGTATCTCCGTATCTAACTGTCAGGTTCAGGAGAATGTTGTAAGTAATAATTATATCTCATATGTGCAGACTGGATAATTAAAATAAAAGAATTAATGTGAAAATCTTATCAGGATTAAATCTATGTCCCCAAGTGTGGGAACAGGACCAAGGATAGAAGGTAAGAGGCCATGGAGTCACATGAGGAATCCCAAATCCTGAATCTCAGGAATCCGACTCTGGAGAGCAGCATCAGGGTGCAGATCTGAGTCTATTGTGCAGCGCACAAGCTTATATACAGTGTTTGAGCCAAGCCCCTAAATCCTCAGCTAACCATCTCTCCACACTGTCACCATGCTCCAGTGAAAACCCTGCCTGATAAGGCAACGCAGGAGTTAGGGGAGCATTGTCACCTGTTAGGACAAGACAGGGAAGTAGCCACCACCCTGGCCTCTGTTCCTTTTGGCTGTCTTCCTGGTGTTCTGGGAGCCATCTTAAATCTAATTCAATGTATGGAAGATTGAGACTCTTCGAGGAGTCCTGAAAGCCTGTGGTACCTTGCTCTCCATCCCACTTTTTCCTTCACAAGATTGACTCCCACATCCCTGACACCCAAGTACTGACCATTTGCTAAACTCAGATACTAAGCTAAACTTTGTAGTGATGCTGTCCCTAAGCGATTCCACTTCAGGGGAGAAGCTAGGGTAGTTTTTTATTTTGTTTTGTGTTTTAATCATAAAATAGGAATTTTTTTTCACTTGGAAGGACACAGGAAATGGAGTGAGTAGATTAAGTTTGATGGCTGTGCCTCAGCACATAACTTTTGTAGTAGTGGGACAACTTTTTGCTGTAAAGGACTGAATATTAAACAGTTATGTAGTAGAGTCTGCCCAATTTTGCCACTATAGCAGGAATGAAGATATCTGTTGTAATAAATTTGTGGCCACTGAAATTTGAATCTCATAGATTTATATATCACAGATATTGTTTTGATTTGTCCAGTGATTTTAAATCTTAACCACAGATCAAGAATCATAGAGAAAGAGCCAGGGCTGTACTTTGCCACCTTTTGGATCATATTGAAAGAACAAACAGATGCTAGATGTTTAAATGTTGTTCTCTAATAAAAATAACTCTTTGACCTTGAGTTTGAAGCTATTACAGTTTCATAACGTAAGTTTGGGGCTTTCTAAGATTGAAGTAGAGAATGAATTTCTAGTCAGTTAGAAATAGCAAGCATCAAAAAATAGGACCCCTGTCTCATGTCCTGGTGATAGCAAAAATAAATCCCATATTAAGAAATGTAAGGAGAATCCCAAGAACATGAGAAAGAACAACTGAATGATCCCACAGGATCCTAAAGATACATGTATCCATCCATGGCTAAAGAGAAAAAAGATTTAGTTCGGCCTGATTTATCTTGAAAGGCCCATGTCTAATTTGATTAGAACCAAAATTTGTCACTTAATATTTGATTGAGGTTGATAAGCATATACAAATGACTCCTGCAACCCTTGAAGTCTTTATTACAGTGTAACGTATGTATATACACAGAGGCATGATCTTTGTTTCACGGCTGAAGCTTTGGATCCGTTAAGTGAGCTTATATTCATCTTTTACCAGTCATACCCATAATGCAATTCTGGTACTACACACTCGACATTAGTGTTTGAATGTTCTGAGAGCAGCAGGTAGTAACCAAAAAAGGGGGGTGAGGGAGAGGGATGGACAGTGAGTGATTTATGTTAGGATCCCCCACATCTCATCAGTCTTTCAGAGTCAGCCCCACCCCAGGGTGAATCTAGGTGTTTATTTTGGATATGGCTCTAATAGCATATGTATTTTGAGAGGGAAACCTCAGACATCGTTCCTGTTGAGCACCTTCCACCCCGTGTGGAGTGTGCATGCATGCGTGCATACGTGCTGTCTCTCACTAGCATAGTGCTCACTGACTAGGCAAGCTAGTTGACCAGCAACCTCTAAGGATCAGTGTATTTCACCTCCCTACATTGGAATTAGAAGCACAAAGCACCACGCACACCTTCTTAAAACTAGGTTCTGGCATCAAACTAAGGTCCTTGCATAGCAAGTGCTTTACCAGCTGAGCCTAAGCTATCACCCTAGCCTAAGTATTTTGTTGTTGTTTTGTTTTTATGTATTTATTTATTTATTTTTGGTTTTCGAGACAGGGTTTCTCTGTGTAGCTCTGGATGTCCTGGAACTCACTCTGTAGACCAGGCTGGCCTCAAACTCAGAAATCTGCCTGTCTCTGCCTCCCAAGTGCTGGGACTAAAGGTGTGTGCCATCACTGCCCGGCTGTTTTTATATTTTAAGTCAAAGATAGCAGTCTCTGGTTAAACTTTGTTCTTAATTTTTTATGGGTCAGTGCTAAAGATGACATTTATGTTCAGTTCAAAGAATCTTTTTCCCTGAAGGGTTTTTATTTTGTTGGTTTGGTTTTATTTTGAGACAGGCTTTACTGTGTAGACCAGACTGGGCTTGAATTCACAAATATGCCTGCCTATGCCTGGGAGAAATGCTAGGATTAATGGCATATGTCACCACACCCAGCTCCTAAGGGTCTAAAAATAAGTTATATTTGCATATTGAATCATAGTGTAGGACCAGGCTAACTTTCTCTAAAACTTAAAAAGCCTACGCTTCATAAAATATTTTGTGCTTCATAAATTTTGTTGCCTCTAATATGAAGTTGAAACTAAGTGTTTGAGTCAGAGACATTGACGTGCTTGGTGGAGAACACTGTGTGTGCTTGCTTTCTCTAGGACATCAGCAGCGTTTACCAGATCTTTGCAGACGAGGTGCTTGGTTCAGGCCAGTTTGGCATTGTTTATGGAGGTAAGCAATTACAGACTGTTATGTACGTGTTTTATAACTTGTTAAGTTTGAAGAGACAGCTGTCATTCTTTTAGCTCACAGTTCTGTTAAGTGCCCCTTTCCTCAACGGCTGGTTTTCATTCTTTCAACCAAATCCTTTTCCCTAAAACCAAGTCTCTCTTCATCTCAATAGCAAAACTGAGAGTGACAGAATCAGGAAATTAATCTCCTCTTGCAGCTTGTATGTAAAGGTGTGTCTGTGTCAGGTTGTGTGCACTGTTTGATGAACTGTGTTTCCTGCTAGTTTCCAGTGCACAGTCAGCAGTCATCTTCTGTTGACTTGCATATTCTCAGGTCTGAAGACCTGAACTCTCATTTTGTCCTGTGCTTGAGAATATAGAGATAACAATTTAGCATCTGTGTGTCTCAAAATCTTGACATCTACTTACTGAAGGTAGTAAACTGAATTGCACTGCTCGTGGATCTACTGGAAATAATTAAAACTAACGTGCCCATGAAAGAAAAGCTTTGACCCAAAATAGATGTGAAACCCTTGGCGTACCTTGCTTCTCCTTCAGTCTTCCCCTTCGCTCACTCTACTCTTGGAGTGAACCTTTCAGAAAATCACCATCGGATGTTAGTATTAGTACATTCAGAAGCCCATTGTCTGGTTCATGTCCATTGTCCTTAGAGTATGCAGGCTGTTACAATATCTGCGTGTGTAACCTCCATTCTAATTACAGTTCATCTTTTATTTCTTCCAGTCATGCTTGCATGCCTCTATATTTTACCTTTCTCCATCCTTTGTTCCTTTAGTTAACATGTGTTTGTTTCTAGCCTCATCTGAAGGACTTCCTCTGCTGCAGTAGTTTTCAAACTTCCTAATACTGTGACCCCTTAAAACAGTTCCTCGTGTATGGTGACCCCAACCGTAAAATTATTGCTTTTGTTGCTACTTTGTAACTATAATTTTGCTGTTATGAATCATAATGTAAGTATCTGATATGCAGATGGTCTTAGGTGACCCCTAAGAAAGGGTTACCACCCCTAAGAAAGGTTGTCCACAGGTTGAGAATCACTGCTCTAATGTGTCTTCTTACCATCCCACTGCTCAGCTAAGTAACTGCATTGTGCTTCTTCTGTGCCCCTGCCATGTGGTAGGCATCCTCCTGTCAGAGTGCCTGTAATGCTGGGTTTCTCTCATCTTCCTGCTGAACTTTGAGGGTAGCCTTAGGGATGTCTGTTTTACTTATATTCCAAGTATCTGCTTGGAATTATGCCTCACTCAGAAAATGTGTTGGTTTTACACTAGTTAGATCTCTGGAAGACCTCACTGAGGAAATAGTAATTGGTCTGAAGTAATGGTGGCATCTTACAAAAAACGTCCTATTTGTCTAGTCTTTTAAAGTCAGAATTTTAGGGCTGTGTCCTTGAAACAGTTGTGAGTAATTTTCGAATTAGTAAACTGATAGAGAACAAGTCCCATGCGTGTTACGTGGAGGTAAGGAGTGCACCTGCTGTTCTCACCTCCTGAACAGTTACCTCACCCGACAAATACAAAGTAACTCATTAATTTAATTAATGAGTGAGATACTGTTATAGACTTATTGTATACCTAGGATATAGAGGTCTGGAGTTTGAGGGTTTGCTGTAGTTAATCACTCTGCTGACTTAGTGAACCTAGAATAAAATTCATTAGTACGTTATTTCCTTCTTGACAGTCTCCGAAGACTTGGTCAGGGCAATTAAAAACTGTCACTTATTTACCGTGGTCTGTTACTTCTCAGCAAGCAGGCTTATGAAGGTGTTATGCCATTTCAGGTCATGAAATTGCCTTTATTACAGGCAGTACTATAGAAGAAAGCATCACATTTCTTAAGAGTGTGGAAAAGAACTTGAGCAAAAGAAAAATGCAAGATAAATACATAAAATTTCAGTCTATGGACTACTTCCCAATGCAGCTTTTCTGTTATATGTGAGCTGCCAGTTGATTCTTTTCTATTCTTGACAGGAAAACACAGAAAGACTGGAAGGGATGTGGCTATTAAAGTAATTGATAAGATGAGATTCCCCACAAAGCAAGAAAGTCAGCTCCGTAATGAAGTGGCTATTTTACAGGTAAAACTTAACATGGCTTACATAGGCTTGAATTTTGATTTGTGAAACTTTGAATGAATATTTTAGATGATGCAAACAAGAATAGGTTTGGGAGTTTGTTTGTATCTTTTGAATACTAAACAGCAAGTCCTTTTTATATTAAGATTATAATGTATAAAAATTTAAGGGGGCTGCTATGATTTTATTTTGTAATGATAGTTTGATTAGAATCTTTTTTCCTGAGTGAAATCTCTAAAAGTAGTAAAGGGAAATTCAGTTTTAATTCCTTTAGGGATACTGGTACTTCTTCTGTATTTTTATCATGTCATTATTTTCAGATTTATCATGTCATTATATCAGATTTTCAGGTATGATATAAATATAGTAGTTACCCTAAAAATAAACACTGATTAAAACAAAGTATACCTTTTAGCAGTATTATGTTGTTCTATTAATTCAAGGTCTCTGTACTGCATACTTCATTAAAAACTTGGTGGTGTTTAGTTTTGGTTTGGTTTTGCTGAAGCCAAGGGTTGCTATGTAGCCCAAGATAAGTCTCATGCTCATGGTGGTCCTCTGGCTTTACATCTCCTGAGTGCTTGGTTACAGATGCACACCACCATGCTGAACTTATTAAAGCATATTCTAAAGATGTGTTAGCAAAAAGTAAATCACATAAAATAAAGTACTTGTATTTTTCTTTTGACCTAATATTTTTATCTTCTTTGGAAGTTGCCTAGAATATAAAAACTTAGCTTGATTTTTGTATCTTCTGGATATTGTAAGAAATAACAATGTTGCAAATACCCATCAGCTCATTGTAAAAAATTTTTTTTATTCTCCTGTATGCAGTTGTCATCTTGAAGGCTTATTACCTCTGTCTGCTAACCTAGACCTAGTCCTAGAAACTTCTAGTCTCTATACAATCGAATGTAGACCTAGAATGTTTTCAGTCTCTGACACTTGCTGCTGAGTCAGCTCACTCTTTCTAGTTCTTTCTGAATTCTCTGATTCAACTCAGCTGTTCTAGCTCAGACTCTTTGGGCTCAAAAACTCTAGCAATCTGTTCTAAACTTCTGACTCCTTCTCATTCTCTGGCTCAATTCTATCTTTACCTGTGTCTAGCTAGTTGGGCATATGGCATTCGGTCAAATCTTACTCTGATTCGCCACTTTGTCTGCCACTCAATTAGATGTCACTTTCATACATGGGTGCCTCCTTCTACAAACTAACTTTACCTTCATTGTTTAGGATTAAAGGTGTGTACTTAAGGGCCTGTCTGTATTCCAGTCAGAAATTAAAGGTGTATGCTAAGGGTTGAGTCCCACCACAACTAGAAAAAGGAGTTTTCAATAAATAACACAATCTCAGGGTTCATAGTGTGATTAAATATCCTCCAGCAGTTTATTGTGTGGCTTTTGCATGCTATTTAAAAAATACCCATGGAGTAATGTTCTTAGGCCTTCACCAGCTTATGTGTGAGAGTAATATAGCTTACTGTGAAAGGACCCCCAAAGAGGACCCCCACTCAAGTCCCAATCAGCACGAACCCAAGGAGACATAAGAGACTGACTTGATGCAATTAGCAAAAGGCAGTTTACTGGTGAGGGTCCCTCGGGTCGAAACACATCCCACGCAGGGGATAGAATCGACCCAGACCCCCCAAAAGCTCGGGGCTTTTATAGGAAGAGGCGCGGGGGAGGGAGGGGAAAGCAGGAAATTCTGGCGCGGTTACATATAATTGGATATTTCAAACATCAGCAATTTGCGTAAGCAATCATTTTGGCGGGCAGGATGACTCGCTATTTTTGACCATGAAACCTCAGACCTCCCAAGGAAGGGAAAAAAACGCCAGGTGGCCCATTTCTCACTTGGGCATGTTTGGGCTTGTCAAGGCATGTCGTCCTTGGCTGTCTCCATATTTTTGGTCACTCTGTCCCTGGAGGGGCCTGATATTTTTATTATGGCTATTCTCAGCAAGTTGTTGGTGGTCTTTGCTGAGTTGTTTTTAATTTTTATTCCCACATTCCCTACTCTCTTTGTTTTCAAATGATTTTAATCTTAAAATCACAGGTTAACATCTTCGGGTTCATCCCCTAAAATCTCGTGTTTCTGTCTTAACACCAGTAGCTGAACGGTATCTATTCTGGACTTAACAAAAGCTAATATTTTATTTATTATACACGGTCCAAAAACTAGGAGTAAAAAAATTATTATTATGGGACCAGCTATGGCGGAGAGCAGGGTCGTCAGCCAAGACAAGTGGGCAAACCAAGACTCGAACCAACCTTGTTGAGTCTCTCTTCTTCTGTCTTTTATCTAGTCTTTCTCTAAGTTTACTCATAGAATCTTTAATCACTCCTGAGTGGTCTACATAAAAACAGCATTCTTCTTTCAGGGCAACACATAACCCTCCTTCTCTGAGAAACAATAAGTCTAATCCTCTTCTATTCTGCAAAACAACCTCAGAGAGGGAGGTTAATGATTCTTCCAGTTTTGATACTGACTGTTCTAGTGTTCTTAAATCTACATCAATGGCGGCCCTCAATTCATGAAAGTAGTGTGGGGTTTGGATCAGTGCAGCTGTACCTGTTCCTACTCCTGTAGCTATTCCAAGCCCCAATATGACGGCCAGGGTCAAGGAAATGGGCTCTCTACGGAAGAGTCTAGGGCGTGACTCGAATTCGAGTTCAAGGGTGCCTATAGGATGATAGTATACTCGGGGGACTAACTGAACAAGCACACAATAATCTTTGGTCTCATCAGAAACAGCAGTGGAAATGCACGGAGATAATCCAGACCCACAAACCCACCACTTATCTATTTCTGGTACTAAATATTTATTCTCAGAAGTCTTTGGACTCTTAAGGATCTTATTGCACAAATGTCTATAGGTGGCAGGGGGCTTCCCAAGCAAAGTCCTTGTCCTGAAACTTCAGGGAGAGTAAGTCTATTCTTACTGTTCCATGCACAGGCCTCATGGCTGGTGGTAGTGTTAAAAGTCCCTGTTGTAGCGATGCCTTCATAATAGGAGGTCCCTGAAGAAAGGCAGAGCCAGCAAGACTTAGTCATCTCAGGCCGTGAGCCGTTTAACACAGTAAAAGCCCCTTGAATTAAATTCAACAGTCTTTGTCCAGTGCTTGGAATGAATGTAGTGGTGAAAGGCGAGCCGGGGTATTCAGCAAGAAAAACCCCTTCCGTGGGTGGCACAGGAGCTATCGGACCATCATGTGGAAGCAGTCTCTGTTCAGGTAACACTTGGTTGGGGCTATCGGTTAGGCAGGAAGACCTTCTATCTTCAAGCAAATGAGGAGGATAGATCCTGCCCCTCCTCCATACTTGTAAAAGACTGAGCCCCATTTTATGTCATTATGCCACCTAGAAAAGTCAGTTGTCTTACCCTTTTCAGTAAATTCTACCTTTATGATGTCTACATCAACCGGGGAACATGGTTTATCCTTGTACAGTTCTATTTCCACAAATCTGCTTGGCCCTGGATTAGCGAAGGAAAAAACCACTTTGTCTTGGGTGGATGACCTATCCCACCTCCAATCTCCATCATTCGAGGTAATGCAACTCCACCTTCTACAAAAGAATTCTTGGTGGCCTCCACAATGCATGCCTCTATCAGTATCAGGACAGCTGTAAAACCCAAACCTGTGTACCATATTGGGAAGAGTACTTGCGGCTGCACGGTTGTTCTGTCGGAAACAGAAGTACAAGGTTGGCCACCAAGTACCTGGAAGGGCAATTCGTTGTGCACTGTTTATAACAGTTCCAGTTCTTACATCTATAATTTGCCAGGTAAGTTGTTGGGGGACATGGGGATTACTTCCCGTCACCTGAGGGGTGCCTATTACGTTAGGCGCAGCTTAAGAGGATTATCGGTCCGTTCCACAGTCCACCCATCTTGTTGGGAGTCCTGGGGTGCTCTTTTCACGTGTGAAGCGTGAACCCAGGTGGGGATCCCATCCACTTTAACGGCAGTTGGGGTAGTTAACAGTACCAGGTAGGGTCCTTTCCACTGTGGCTCGAGATTTCCCGCTCGATGTCTCCGTATTAAAGCAGCATCTCTGACTTCAAACTTGTGAGGAACAGCAGTGTCTCCAGGAGCATAGGTGTCCTTAAGACGCTCCCAGACTTCTTTTCTGACTATCTCTAGAGCTTTCAGGTGGGCTAGGAGAGAAAATGATGGGATAGAGCCATCATCAGGGTGGGCACAGCTCTCTAGGGTTTCATATATTGGAGAAGGAGAACCAAACATGATCTCAAAGGGGGTCAACCCCAAAGGTCCTGGTGTGTTCCACACCCAGAACAAGGCAAGAGGGAGAAAGGCTGTCCAGTCACCCCCGCCGGTCTCTAAGGTCAATTTTGTCAAGGTCTCTTTTATAGTTCTATTCATTCTCTCTACCTGCCCTGAGCTCTGGGGTCTATAAGAACAATGTAATTTCCACATGATCCCCAGTTGTCTGGCCAATCCCTGGCATACCTGGACAACGAAGGCAGGCCTATTGTCCGACCCAATTACCTTAGGTACTCCAAACCTGGGTAGAATCTCTTCCAGTATCTTCTTGGCCACCATGTTGGCCGTTTCTTTCTTGGTGGGGAATGCCTCAACCCACCCTGAAAAGGTGTCTATAAAAACTAGCAGATATTTATTTCCATATCGGGCAGGTCTAACCTCGGTGAAATCAACCTCCCAATAGGTCCCAGGTCGATCTCCCCTTAGCCGCTTTCCTTCCAGGCCTCGGCTGGATCCGGCATTGGTGAAGGCACATGCCTTACATCTTCTTACTATGTCTGTAACCATCTGTCACAGTCTTGGAATATGATAAGGAGATTTGTTAGCTAATTTTATCATCTTTTTGGGCCATAAATGGGTGAGCTGATGTATACCAGTCAGGTAGTCCAGTGTCTCCTCTCTGGAGAGGACACCTCCTGGCTTTTCAACATTTTTTTCTGGGGGCCTGTTCCCCACCTCGGCCGGCAGGATCATGGGTTCCTGTGCGGCTTCTTTTGCC